CCACGTGGACCGTCTCGAAGCAATGGTCGGCGTGCTGTGAGCGCTGTGATGTTTCCTGGCCCCCTCGAGGGCCCTTTTTGGTGGCCTCCGGGCCCCCTCGAGGGCCCTTTTGGCAGGTGCGGGCTCGTTTGGCCCCCCATTCCACACGGAAGCACCGATCCTGCCCACCCCCCAGAGCCTACCCAAGTAGATATTCTCAAATACGTGTATAGATTCGCCTATGTACATATACCTATATGTATATATATATGTGTGTATTCACATGTGTACATATACAGATGCAAACACATATGTACATATCTATACATCGATAGATGTGAGCATATATGTATATACAGCTGCGTACGTGGGAGAAAGATGCACAGGACGGGGGAGAGCAACAACGACCGAGGCACCGACCGAGCGGCAGCAAACACAGAACTCAAGCGGGGGCCCCGCGAAAGGAACGACGAGGACCGACTGCATTCCGAAGGCCAGCGGCTCGCCCGGTGGGGGGAGTGAGACCGGGCGGCCCTTCTCAGAAGGCTCGGAAGGCCTCTGGCCTCTGAACGGTTTCTACGTCTTCCCCTACGGCAAAGAAAACTCCTCACACGGCGCGAAAGCTTTTCAGAAGCCCCGCCGGCTCCTGAGAAAGCCTGCCCTCTCTTACTTCCCCCGGGCGCGCCGCCGAGAAGGAGGACGAGGAGCAGCAGCAGCTGGAGGGGCCAACAGATCCCCTGGCCGAGGGCGGGCGGTGGGCCAAAAGATCCCCTGGCGCAGAGGTCTCGGGCAGCCAGCCGAGACGGCAGCCCGAAGGAGGCTGGGCATCGGGAGCAGCAGCAGCAGCCAGAGCAGCCGCAGGAGCAGGAGGCGCCAAGCGGAGCAGCAACGTGCAGCAGGCGCTTCACGGTCCCGTTACGCAACACGCATGACGCAGCGTGTTGACACGGACTTCAACATGAAGACCGCAAAGCTTAGGTAAAACCCGATACGTTCGCCAAAACGTGGGTCAACAAGTTGAGTCAACACGCATCGTGCCAACACAGACTGTGTGAACAAGGTACTCGTTGCGCTTCAAAAGCTGATCAGGGCAGCTAAGGGCAGGAGCGGTAGGTGCGGGCAATATTTGAATACATGTCCACTGCGTCTTGGAGTGTCCAGCTCCCTTCCAAAAAGCCAGAGGCTCAGTGGGTCTGCATAAACACCTGGCATCCAGAGGCTATTTTTTGACAATGCGACGACCCTTTTGGTGGTAAGGAGTTGGCTTTCGGTGTGCGATTGGGGTCGGATCGGTTTCGACAGACATCAGTAGGGCTCCACACAGCACCTGTTTGGCCATCTATCTATCTACCGATCTCACGCCAGATACCAATCGATGTCCCTATCGACCTCCTTCTATCTATCGATCTCCTTCGAACCATCGATCTCACAATCGATATCAAGATCGAACTGACTATCGGTATCATGATCGATACCACTATCGATCTCACAATGAAACTTACGGAACACCACGGGACATCTCGTCACTAGACACAACGCTTCACCACGGGACACCGCGCCACGGGACACCACGGGACACCAAAGGAACCAACGGGACATCGGAGGGACACCCTCAAGCCACCGCCGGCCAACTGGGGGGACTGGAGTCATTGAGCCCAGTTTCGCCCTAGCAACGGCGGGTTCATTTCTCTCGCCCGCCCACGCAGCTTCTCCTCACCCGCACTCACGACACGAACACGAAACCGAAACCGATTTCCTAGTGAGGGGCCTCCGTTTCACTTCAAACTCACCCCCCAACCTTCGATCCGTATCCACTTTGCCTCGGCGATTTGGCGCCCCAGTACCCACTGGATCGGAAATTGGGGGGTGAGATCGAAGTGAAACGGAGGGCCCCCCATCGGGAAATCGGTTTCGGTTTCGGGGTCGTGTCGCGCGTGCGGACGAAGCAAAGCCGCGTGGGCGGGCGGAAAGAAAATGACCCTGCTGTGGCTGCGGCCGGTAAGAGCCGTTGACCGCCCTTCCTTCCTCCCCAATGGGCGGGCGGTGGCCAAGGTGTCCCGCCGTAGTGTCCCGTCGCTGTCCGCACCTCCCCCGCAATGGGCGGGCGGTGGCCATGTCATCCCGCCGTGGTGTCCCGTCGGTGTCCCGTAGGTGTCCCGTTGGTGTTCCGTGGCTGTCCCGTCGGTGTCCCGTCGGTGTCCCGTCGGTGTCCCGTCGGTGGCCCGTCGCTGTCTCGACGCTGACCAGTCGGTGTCCGTGGCGAGAACGATAGTGTGATAGATCGTGTGATTATGTTGAAATCGATAGTGAGACCGGTGAGATCGATCGTAAGACCGAAAGTAAGATCGATAATGAGATCCAGAGAGAGATCGATTGGTGCCCCTATGGCGTCTCGATGGTGGCTCGTGGTGTCCCGATGGTGACCCGTCGGTGTCCTGCGGGTGTCCCGTCGGTGTCCGTCGGGATCTTGTGGTGTCCCGTGGTGGGATACAGTGTGAGATCGACCGTGTTCGTGAGATCTTCTGTGGGATCGGTTGTGAACGTGATAGTGAGATCGAAACTGAGATCGATCGAGTGGAATTGATGGTGAGTCCGAGCGAGTGAGATCGATAGGGATATCGAAAGTGAGATCGATTGGTGTCCCGATGATGTGCCGATGGACAGTGTGCCGTGCTGTCCCGTCGGTGTCCCGTCAGAGTCCCGTCGGTGTCCCGTCGCTGTCCCGTGGTGAGCTCGATAGTGAGACCGATCGTGAGATCGATCGTAGGATCGATAGTGAGATCGATAGTGGGATCACTCGTGAGATCTGCACCGAGATAAACAATGACATAGATCGAGTAATAGCGATTGTGGGATCGATCGCGTGAGGCCGATACTGAAAAAAACGATGATGAGATCAATAGTGCAATCGATGGTGACCTGATGGTGTCCTGATTGGTGCCCCGATTGGTTCCCGATTGGTGTCCCGATCGGTGTCCTGATGGTGTCTTGGTGGTGTTTCGATGGTGTCTCGGTGTTGTCCTGGCGGTGTCCCGATAGGTGCGCCGAGTGGTGCTCCAGTGGTGTCCCGATTGGTGTCCCGATCGGTTTCCTGATGGTTTCCTGGTGGTGTTTCGATGGTGTCTCGACCGCCAACGGGATACCTCTGACGCCTTACCAGCCACGGGATAGCCTCTGACGCCCGATCGCCCTCCTCGCCCTTTCGATGTCCTCCTTACCGCCACGGGATCGCTTTCGATGTCAGCCTTACCAGCCACGGGATAGCCTCTGACGCCCGATCGTCACGCTGCCATCGCAACGCAATGTTGGTGGTATTCATTTGGCACGATCGTGTTCCGATGGTGTTCCGATCATACTCAGCACTACCGCCGCTGCTATCGCCGCCAAAACTCATCACCACTGCGGCCATCACCTTGCCACCAGCAGCCAGCCATCACACTTCGTACCAACAACCATCACAGCAGAGTAACGTGGCATTTATTTCGCCTCATGGTGCCCTGTTGGTGTCTCGATGGTGATGTCGATCGAGTGTGACCGATAATGGGACCACATCGCGGCGCAGCATCGTCACCACGCGTCGTCGCCAACTCGGGGGCGCATGATCAGCATCGCCATCATCACTGCCATCACCACCGCCATCGTACTTGTCGTCAGTTTGCTCTTTCTCCTCCCCACCAACCTCCTTGTCAACTGAAGGGTGGTCGTATAAGTGTGGATAAGCACCGAACTTCGACGTGTGAAGACGCTGTCGTTGTTGTCGTGAGTCCCACGGAAGGTGAGGAACAAGGGAAAGGAACGTCGCAGTTGAGTTGAAGGGAAGCAGCACCGTCCCTTTATCCTTCCCCCTCCGGGGAGGGAGGGGGAGGAGATACGATTTGCACGCCCGAAATGGGTACGGAAGAAATCTGTACAATGCCCAACAACAAATGTTGTCCCACACCGACAGCGGCCGCTGTTGGGCAGGCGGCCTTCTGTCTCAAATGGGCACAGGCCGCGGCTGCGCGGACAGCGAGTCCTGCTCAAAATGAACAGGAACTGCAATTGGGCATGATAACCATTCTTTCTGTACCCATTTCGCTCGTGCAGATACGGGGGGGGTCAGGGGTCCAGGGTCAGAGTGCCGACCCCGGTCCCGCGGCGGGAGGGAAGGGATTGCCGCAGCGCTTCCCCGCCTCCGCAGCCCTTCACGTCACAGGCCCCACACAAGGCCGTGCAGGCAGCACGCCTTATACACTGCATACTTCTGCCGGTGCAAGAGGGGCCCAAATAAGGGGCCGAACTCTATACACCGACGCTGTTTCTGGCCCCGCATTGAAATTCGCACAAGAAAACGGATCATGGTGTATACGGGATCCTGGTGTATACATTTCTTGTTGTTTCCCGGGGAAAACGGGGAAAAAAGTATACACCAGACCACCCCGACGTCGTCCCCGACCCTCGAAACGTCGCAGGATGGAAAAACGGTCCGCCACTGGTTATGTACATGTTCCAGAATCCGACCAACGGCACAGGAGGGAGGGACGACGAACGAGGCACGAACCGACCAATGCGCAGAGGGGCGTGGGAGGGGGGCGAAAAGGGGGAGGACGCGCGCGCCCGCGCGCGCGCTCGGCCGCCCGCCGGGGCCCGCGCAGCCCGCGGCAGGCAGGTGGCGTGGCGGCGCCTCCGCGGCAGCGGGTCACGCCTTTTGCATTGCACGCGCGCTGATTCCAGGACCTCCAAGCATTGTGGATGCCACGACAATGGACACTCTAACAATCTGGGCATTGATTTTCTAAGGTGTTTAAAATGTGTAAAACATGTGTGAAACATGTGTTTTTACATGTTTTAAACATGTTCCATCTGGAAAGTATTTGGCAACGTTGACCGCCCTCCACAGCCCCAGCGGGGTCCTGGGGGGGAGGTCCTGCCTTCCGCGTCGGCGGCAACGGCCGCAGGGCCTCCGCAGTGCACCTTGCCCGCAGCGTGGGCCGGCCGATCCCCCCCGCCGGTCGGGGCGGACGGCCGGCACTGCCGCCGGCCTCCTGCTCGTCCGCCCTGTCGTTGGCGCGCCTGCTCAGCTGCCGCTCCGTCGAGAGGGCCGCCTGGCCGCCCCCGCTGGCCTCCTCCCCAGGCCCCCTCGCGCTGTGAAGGAATGACGACGGGAGATTTGCCACTCCCTTCGGCCTTCTGGGGCCCACACCAGGCCTCGGGACCGTCCAGAAACGATGCAGGATGAAAAACCGGGCCCATGGAAGGGGTCCAGACCTCTGGGGGGCCGACACTGTGAACAAATCACGATGTCGGTGGTCTGGGCACCCTGCTTCCTCCAGTCGCATGGTACTCCTCATGCTCCTCATGCTCCTCCATAGCGTCCTCATCCCCCCCACCTCGTCCTCAACCTCCCTCGTTTGACGCCCGCGCTCTCTTCCTCCTTCTCCGTATCCTCTTGCACATTTTTCCCCCTCCGCCCCCATCCCTCCCTGTTCACACTCCCCCAGTCATGTCTTTTTCTTCCTCTTAAGAAGTTACACATCAGAAGATCAGGCCATGAAAACACAGACTTCGCTTGAGATGAAGGACGTGAGGACGATCTTGAACTCACAGGCGCCCATCAACTAAAGCAGCTCAACCCCCTCGAACTCCATCCCTCGTCCTAAAAAAAAAACTCCTCCCCGTCACACTCGCAGACCTTCCGGAACAGGGGGCAGGGCGTTCCGCCCGATACCCCTCCGCCATTTTGACCCTGCGGCTTGATCGCTGGAGCAGTGTCGCGCATGGAGGGCGAGGCCTTTTCAGTGTGTGGTCATCGTCTCGGCGCCGCGCACACTGACTTTCAAAGCTTGCAGCAGCTTCACGGGTGGATGCCGGGTCGTTTTCAAACGGTTGCTCTCGCTGTGGTGCCGCGCCGCGCACAGGTGTTCAAAAATCTGCAGCAGCTTTCAAAGATGGAGGGCGGACCCTTTTCACAGTGTGGCTTGCGCCTGGGCGCCGCGCGCAATCGCTCTGAACCTGTGCGGCAGGCTCAGGGGTTCGTGCGGTGGAAGTCCCAGAAGTGGTGTTCTGGCACGCCTTAGGATTGTCTGGAGGCAACGGTATCGTTGCTTCGCGGTGTTGGAATATCAGAATCGGCGTTCCGGCGCGATTTCGTGACGCCTGTGTGCAACGGTCACGTTGATTCGCGGCGCTGATGTCCTAGATGTGACGATTGAGGATTATCAGACCGTTCTCTTTCAGTAAGGCGCTTCCCAAACGTCCCTCTGTCGAACGCAATTCAAGACTAGTTTCGGGGGCGACGAAAGGGGCGAATAGCCCGCGGGGCGGACATTACACGCATTCGCCCGGGAGCCTCGCCGAGAACCGGGATCCTCGGCGCCCCTGGATACATGTATTGCCCCCCCCCTGGGCTATTCGCCCCTGTCGTCGCCTCTGATAGTTCAGGGTGGTTCAGGGCCTCGCGCGCGTAGTTCAGGCGTCGTCCAGGAGTCGTTCAGGGTGGGCCGGGGGCCTTGGCCCCGTCCCCCCCCCCCCCGAGCCTGCGCGGCGGCCAACGCGTCGCGCAGCTCCGCCCGCTCCGCCTGCATCGCCTCGCTCTCGGCGTCCGCGCGCTGGCGCTCCAGCCGCAGGCCCTCCTGCGCGCCGGGAGGGAGCGCAGGAACCCGGGGGGGGCAGGGGGAGGGCGCGACCACGGGCGCGGGCCCGAGCAGGCACGCGCGCAGGAGAGGCGGTGGCTGCGGTTGGGGGAACCAAGGAGGCACCGATGCCGCCACTCCCAGGACCTCTCCCGGGGCGATGCTCTGACCAGGATTTCGAGGCGAATCCAGCGGCGGCGGCGGCCAGGGCCTCCCAAGAGGGCGAAACATGGGGAACGGGGGCAAGCAGCGGTATGGTCACCTTTCCCTCCTTTTCAACACGGGATCCCTGGAAGTCCCGACCCTTTCCCTGGGACCGCCCAGAGACTTCGAAATGCTTACAGCTCAGTGGTTGATGAAACTATTTTCGTTCTAGCGTTGAAGACTCAGATGTTAATGTACGTGCAATGACGAACTGAGATTTTAGCATTCAAACTTACGGCAGGTTCGTGTCGTGCCGACCCCAGCGTTGGTTTTTGACACCGCAGGGATCGTTCAACCTTGAACGATCGGCCGCTGCCGCAACGTCCGATCGTTCAACGTCGATCGATTCTGGGTCGCCGGCGGCGTTCAACCTTGAACGTCCGCGCTGGGGTCGCCGCTGGTCGACACGACGCGAACCTACCGTACATGACTTTACATGTTCATTCACACAAAAGTAAGTATAAGTAATGGGACCACGGCAATGCGCTTCGGGGAGCTCGGATGGGCAGGATCCCTCTCCGCGCCCCGTGGGGGCTGAGGTGACATCCGAGACCTTCCTGATCTTCCCTCTCCTCCTCCTCCTCCTCCTCCTCCTCCTCCTCCTCCTCCTCCTCATCCTCATCCTCATCCTCATCCTCATCCTCATCCTCATCATCCTCATCCTCCTCATCCTCATCCTCATCCTCATCCTCATCCTCATCCTCATCCCATCATCATCATCACCATCACCATCACCATCACCACCATCACCATCACCATCACCATCACCATCACCACCATCATCATCATCATCATCATCATCATCGTCATCATCATCATCGTCATCATCATCATCATCATCATCATCAGCATCATCATCATCATCATCATCTCTTCCTACTCCTCCTCCTTCTCCGTCGGGGCCCGACTCAAGCGTCGACGGCCGACTCCAGTACCGACTGCCAACGCCAGCACCGACAGCCGACGCCAGCACCGACGGCCGAGTCCTCATCCCTCCCTCTGCCTCGCCCCCTTTCCTCCTCACCTGCACACCTGCAAGAGATAGCGGCCCTCGACAGCCTTGGTATTCATTGTGATGGGCATGTCATCGGCCCTGAACGCGCTGAGGGTAAGCTTTTGAATTTTAACCGCCTGCGCAATTGACTTCGAAGCTGATGTGCAGCTCAAGAAGAAACAAAAAACATTGCCCAGCAGCATCTGCGAGACTCCGCGGCAGGAGCAGCGCATCAGGTCGGTGCTTAGGAACTGTGACTGCAACCCTGGGGAGGGACATATTTCCCTGTCCACCTAGCCCCCTGCCCACCCACTCCCCTCCCGCCTCGCCTCGCGCCTCCTCTATCCCAATTTATTCTCTCCAGAGAAAGTCCCGCGTCGTTTTACCCAGATTCCTCTTCCCCCCTCGCCCTCCTCGCCCTCCCCCTCCTCCTCTTCGGGCCAAAATGGCCAACTCCCTGCCGGGCCGGGCAACCGCGGGGATCCAGCAGAAATAACGACCGAACAAATACGGAAGTCTGTCATTTTGCAGTCGCCGCACCCCTCCAGGCGTTGGGGTCATTCCCTCCTCCAGGGCCATCGCTGAAGCAGGGGAAAGACAGTCTGGAGCTTTCGCTCAGCGTGTCGCGGCGGCGGCCCTGGCGTTAGGCTAGCGATGCCTTGCGAGTGGACAGCATGTCGCTCCGCTCCGCGGGACAGAAGGGCCAGAAAGGCTCGGGAAGTTGACGCCTGCGGACTGGGATATGGATAGGGTGTCGCGCCGCAGCGTGGTGGGCCAGAAACAGCGGAGCCACAAGGTAGGCCAATGTTCCTGATTGTAGGGATTCGGACTCTGACGCAGTCATAACGCAAAACATAATACACATTGCTGACTCATGGAGGTTTTCGACGAAGCCCTTTGTTGAAGCGGTCAAGGATTCCCCGCTCTTTGGGGGCTACGACGGTTCATACGGCCCTGTAAGCTCCGGATCCGTGGCAGAGACTCGGAGAGAAGGGGGAGGAGGGAGGCCATGGATGTTCAGTGAGTTTTTGTGGAGCATTTAAAGTCGTTATTGGACTTTTAGGAGGACCTCCAGCGACATCCGGGGGAGAAGGATGGGAAGAGGGAGAGGGGGAGGAGGGAGGGAGATGGGTCACGGGGGGAGATGGGCTGAGGAAGATGGGGGGGAAAGACGAGGGGAGGATCAGGAGGAATGGGGGCGGGAAAGAAGGAGGAGGCAAAGGAGGGAGTGACGGTGGAAATAGGAAGGGGGCGGAGAGCGGGCAGGATGGAGGAGGTGGAAGAGGGCACACACAGGGGTCGGATAGGACGGCGCTGGAGGCGGCCATATATCGATGAACGTGCCGATGGGCGAAGCAAAAACCGGCTACATGCAGCAATTGTCGCTCCCCATTTCCAATCCCCCCCGTTCGTCCGACCCCAGGAGAAGGGGGTTAGTGCATTCTGGCCAGAGGCATGTGTGGATGAGGGGGGCCAAGGGGCGCATTGAACAACATAAGGGGGGGCCACGAAATCTGGGATGCAACGACCATGGCCCCAAACATGATATCGACAAACACTGACACCTACATACACACACAAACTTACTTTTTGGGGCGTCGCGGCCACGCGCGCAGCAGCCCGACGAAGTGGAGCTAAGGTCGAAGGGAGGCGCGCGGACTGGCCCAACCCATACACACACACCCACCCATACACACAAACACACACACACACGCACACGCACACGCACACGCACACGCACACGCACACGCACACGCACACGCACACACACACGCACACACACACACACACGCACACACACACACACACACACACACACGCACGCACGCTTTATCCCCACCCCCCCTCTTGGACGCCCCAGCCAAAGGGATGTTGCCGCTGCCAGCCCCCGCCCGGCGGTCTCCGCGGCCTGCAGGGCCGCCAGCTGCTCCTGCAGCCCGTGCTCCCTCGCGGAACCATCGGCAAGGAGACGGCGCTCCGTCTGCAAGTCGGCCTTGGAGGAGTCTTCGTCGTCGTCCTCCTCCTCCTCCTCCTCCTCCTCCTCCTCCTCCTCCTCCTCCTCCTCCTCCTCATGGTCACACTCCCCTTCTTTTTCACCCTCCTGCGCCTCCTCCGTCCTCGTCGTCGTCCTCCTCCTCCTCCTCCTCCTCGACTTCCGCCTCCTCCCTCCTCGTTGTCCTTCGCCTCCTTCTCCTCTTCTTTTGCCCTCCTCTGCTTTCGGCCTCCTCCTCGCCCTCCGCCTCCCCATCCCCTCCGCACCGCACGCGCGGGAGTGCGCGCGCGGTAAGGGAGGGGTGGGGGGGGGGGGGAGGCAGCGCCGCCCATGACACCACGCGCCCACACGTGGGCGTGGCATGCTCAGCCCCGCGCCCGCACCCTGCCCGCCCTCCTCCCTGCCGCTCCCCGTGCAGAGCCTCGGCCGGCCCCGCGGGGCGGGGCCGTGCCGCGCGGAGCCGGCCGCGGACGGCGCCGCCGAGTGATCCCTCGCCACGCGAGCACGGGAGGCCTGGCGCGGTGACCGCTCTCGTGGCCACCCCCGGCCACGGGAAGACCTCGGGAAGGCCTCCGGGTGCCGCCGGAAGACCTCCTGGCGAGGAGCATGGAGCGCGCGGAGAGCCAGGTCCGCTGCGGCGGCCACCACGAGCATCCCGCGCTCTTTCCCCCGGAGGCCTCGCGGGCGCCGCCCGCTGGCAGGAAGGAGGAGGAGGAGGAGGAGGAGGAGGAGGAGGAGGAGGAGGAGGAGGGAGAGGCGAAAGAGAAGGAGGAGGAGGAGGAGGAGGAGGAGGAGGAGGAGGAGGAGATGAAACAGCGGGTTGAGACGAGCGCAGAGGAAATGTCATACACTTCTCGATCTGCGCGTGTCGTCCTTGAGCAGGGGTCACGCGAACCTTCTCTGCACCGCGCCAGCAGGGGGAGGAGGGGGAGGATGGCTTCGCTGACCATAACATCCACGGAGGACCACGAGGAGGCCCCCGAGAGCACCTCCAGAGGCCGAGAGCATTGATTGTCAGATGGGTTTTGCAAGACGTTCGCACTCTCGTCTTCTTCGATTCTCGGGGACCCATGACGGCCAAGCAGCCTCCAAGATGGCCCCGAGTCGGCCCCAGAGGCCCCCGAGATTGTCTCATGCCTACGTACACTTGTGGATGCCACGACAATGGACACCCTAACAATCCTACATTGATTTTAACATGTGTTTTAAATGTAGGAAAATGCTATAAACATGGTTTAAACATGATTACACATGTTTAAACCCTGTTTAACACATGTTCTAGAGATCTGGAAATTATGTGGCAACGCGCTTCCTCTCCATGGATCGTCCTCCACGAGCCTACACCAGCGGCAGGATGGCCGAGGAGGCACCACGGGGGAGCCCCAGCGAGCGTTCCGAAGTGAAGCCGCGCCTGCGCGCTGCGCGCCGCGGCCGCGGCCCGCGACCGGCCCTGCCCCCCGTCGCGCGGGCCTCGGCGCGCTCCGCGCGGCGCGTGGCCTCCGTCAGCAGCAGGCCCTTCTCGGACTCCCGGCGGCGGGCAGCGGCGAGGGCCGCCTGGCCAGGGGCTGCCGATCCTGCCGCTCCTGCCCGTGCCCTCCCTGCCCCCCCTCAGCCTTTCCAGTCCGTCCTCCTCCTCCCCCTCCGGCGGGCAGATCCTCCTCCCGCAGACTCCCTCGCCCTCCGCCCTCTTCCTCGTGCTCCTGATGCTTCTGCTGCACCTCCTCCTCCTCCTCCTCCTCCTCCTCCTCCTCCTCCTCCTCCTCCTCCTCCGCCTCCCCCTACCGACCTTCAGCTGCTCCTCCTCCTCCTCCTCCTCCTCCTCCTCCTCCTCCTCCGCCCCCCCGCCCCGCCTCCTGCCCCCCCTCCTGTCGAAGCCCACATCCTCCACACTTTGTTCGTCCTTGTCCTCGTCCTTGTCCTTGTTATCCTCCTCATTCTCTGCCTCCTCCTTCTTCTCATCATCATCAGCATCATCATCAGCATCAACACCATCATCACCACCACCACCACCATCAGCATCATCATCATCATCATCATCATCATCATCATCAGCATCATCATCATCATCATCATCATCATCATCATCATCATCATCATCAGCATCATCATCAGCAACAGCATTATGATCAGCATCATCAGCATCAGCATCAACATCAGCATCATCATCATCCGTATCATCCCCATCATCATCATCATCATCATCATCATCATCAGCATCATCATCATCATCATCATGATCACCATCATCGTCATCATGTTCATCACCATCATCAGCATCATCATCCCCATCATCATCATCCTCCTCATCATCACCATTGTCATCCCCCATTCCCATCATCATCATCATCCTCATCATCCCCATCATCATCAGCATCATCAGCATTATCATCACCACCACCATCATCACCAGCATCATCCTCATCCTCCTGTTTCACGTCCTCTTGATCCTCCTACTTCTCCGCCTCCTCCTCGTCAGCGTTTGGCTCCAGCACCAGCTCTTCTCCTTCCTCCTCCTCGTCCTCCTCCTCCTCCTCCTGCTCCTCCTCCTCCTCCTCCTCCTCCTCCTCCTCCTCCTCCTCCTCCTCCTCCTCCTCCTCCTCCTCCCCCTCCAGCTGCTCCTCCTCCTTTTCCTTCGCTGGCACTGTCCCGCCGTGGCTGGCTGATCCCCAAGGTTCGGCGCGGGAGCGGTGGCGGCCCTCGGGCGTGTGCTGAGGCCCGCGGACAAAAGTGCGGCGCGGCGCGCGTTCGGTCTCAAGACTGCGGGAGGCGCTGGCTCGTAAAGCTCGACGGGATCGTGGTCGATCAAGAGTCCAGTCCCGGCTGCTGCTGCTCTCCCCTTCATGTCCCGCGTCGCCGCTGATCACAAATTGACTCCGACCTGCGATGGTGAAGGGGTAATCCCGTTCCTCTACATGTTCCTGAGCTGGCATGCGGCTTGCGGTTCGGTCCGGCTTATCTTTTCTACAGCCCCGTTCCTGGATCGGAACATGCAAGCGGATTCCCAATGTGCTTGTGAAATTGGTACCACCATGTTTCTATACCTGTCACGGAAGCGCCGTGGGCGAGATGAAAGCCATACTTCTTCCTGCGAGCGGAGTGGTGCGCGCGCGAACCTCCGCCGCCGCGGCTCTGCGTTGCCGGCCCGACATTTCGACGCCTCTCTCAGGAGTTCAACCGGCTCCCTGGACCCCACCTGCCCCGCGCTCGCCCCCGCAGAGGGCGCGACGCCCCATGTGGGGCATTGGCGTCGATACGACGCTGAGATTCGCTCGCGCACCACTGCCTCCAAGTCATTATATGACTTTGTAAACCCGGACGGGGTGGCGCGCCTGCGCCGATTCAAAACAAACAAAAACAAACGAAAACAAACATGGTCCAACGTGCCTGCGGCGGCGGCGCCTGCGATGACAGGGCGGTGTCTGCACCTTCTTATTCAGCGTGCCGGAGGTGCCTGCGCTTTTGCCATGGGCAGTGCCTGCGCCGATAAAAGCCAGTGCCCGCGGCGCCTGCGCGAAAAGCGCGATAGCGAGGAGACGCCTGCGCCCGATTACTGGACGTCCATTTCCCGCGCATGTTTCGGTTTCGTGCGTGCTTTTTTTTGCTCGATGGTCCAGGATGGTCCTCGATGGTTCTCGCCGAAAAAAATGCACACGTCCGAGCGATGCCAGGTGCGCTGAAAGCGCGATGGCGAGGAGACGCCTGCGCCCGATGCTTTGGCGTGCCCGCGGTGCCCGCGCCTGGCTCGCGCGCAGCGCCCGCGCGGATAGAATTCGAGTGTCCCCGCGGTGCCTGCGCCGACAGCTCCGTGGTGAGGCGATGCCTGCACCATCTTTGAAGGGGCCCTGGGACACACAAATAAATAGACGCAAATAACAGGATTCCCCACATTTTCCCATATGTTCTTTGTTTTTGTCCTCCGACAGCCTGCGCCGACAGCTCCGTGGTGTTGGAAGAACAGAAGGCGCCAACACCAACAGGGCAGGGAGATGCGGGGAGCGAGCGGGGTCTCCCTGGTGGTGTGCTCCCCCCCTCTCGCTCGAGACATCCCCGGCCTCCGGCTCGGGGAGACATCGTGGACCTCCTCGCCGGAGGTGGCCCCCTGGTGGTGTTGGCGTCGCTTCTCCTCCCTCCGATGGTGAGGCGATGCCTGCACCATCTCTTCTTCGACACGCCCGCGACGCCTGCGGGCCATGCGCAGCGCCTGCGCTGATGGAGCGACGGCGCCCGTGGCGCGCGCCCCACAGCGCCGCCGTAGCGGGGCGGTGCCTGCGCTCCCTGTTAGCTGACGCGCCAGCGGTGCCTGCGCCGAGGTCGTGCCGTGAGCTCCGGGCGCTGCCAAGGAGAACCTGCACAAGAAGAAATCGAGAGGCGGATCGACTACATGAACGGTTCGCCCAAGAGATTACTCTTTCCGCCGAATCTGCACGCACCATGCTCTATACTCGGTCGTGGACTCGACGAGACAATCAGTTATGGGGTAAATCCATTCTGTAGTCGATCCCCTACTCGAGAGAAAAAAGAGTTGGCATGCGGGTCAGCAGCGGGCACTCCTCGCTTCTCGGCGGCTCCCGCTGCCCTCTGCGGGGGCCGGGGTGTGCGGTAAGGATGCAAGCCCCTTGGACGCCGATCGACAGTGGAAAAGGATGGACCGAAGAGGCAAGGCTGCAAAGGTACTCCCTGCGAAATGCTTAAGAAATCATGGGTTAAGAAATTCATGGTCTCAGAACTCGAATAAAAACCCACAATTTCTATTCATATCTTAGGATTTACATTGAAACGTTAAGAATAATCGAGACTCTGGCCGAAAACTTAGGTTTTCTTAAGCATCGCCTAAGGTGTACTCTTGGGAAGGCCACCCATTCCTACCAGCCGCTTCGACTGCACTTCTCCTCGTCGCCCTCCTCCTTGTCCTCCTCCTCGTCCAAGTCCTCCTCGTGCTACTCCTGCTCCTCCTGCTCCTACTCATCCTCCTCGTCTCATGTTCTCATCTCTCCTCTGGGCGAGGACCACTGCCGACGTGCCAATTCCAACGAGGGGCACAGCATCGTGCTTGAGCATATCGCATCCTGCCTATACGACCACCCTTCGGGTGAGTGATAAAGGAGGTTCGGGGACTGGGGGGAAGAACCAACTGCTGGCAAATGCGATGGGTGCGATGATGACGATGCTGGTGAGGCGTCCTCGAGTTAGCGACGATGCGTGATGACGATGTTGCGCTCCGATGTAATATCACTATCGTTATCACTATCGATATCGCTTTCGATCTCACTATCGATATCACGATCGATCTCACTATCGATTCCTAGATCGATCTCACTATCGATGTCGAAATTGATTAATCAATCGATCCCAGTATCGACTCCACTAACGATCTCACAACCAATGTCACAATTAACCTCACTGTCGATCTCACGTTTGATCTCATTATCAATATCATGTTTGGCGATCTGATTCTTGATCACACTATCGACCTCACTAGCGATACCAAGGCGGGACACCCCAGGACACCACACGACACCACGGCGGGAAACCCGCGGCCACCGCGCGCCCACCGAGGGCGGAGGGGCGGTCCACTGTGTCCGAATCGCCCTATCGACGGCGGGGTCATTCCTCGCGCGAGCCCACGCAGCTTCGCCTCGCCCGCACGCACGACACGAAGCCGAAAACGCCTTCCCAGCGGGGGGGCCCTCGGTTCCCCTGCGATCTCCCCCCCCCCCGACCTCCGATGGCCCTGCTCCTCCCCCCCCCCCTTGACGATGGTGCCCATGCGGCGACCAGAGACGATAGGGCTCAGAGACGGCTGGGGCTCAGGCACGAGCAGCGTCGGGGCCACGGGTGCCAGGGCTTGCTGCAGGATTGGTGTAAGGACCTGGGCTTTATCCCCGAGCCAGAATCGCGCAGATGGGCTGGGGGGGGGGAGAAGGGGCGGGGGCGGTTTGGGGGGGGGAGAAGGGGCGGGGGCGGTGGGGAAGGGGTGGGGTCATGGGTGGGCGGGTGCGGGGGAAGGGGGTGGTGGGAGGGCACATTGGGAACGAAGGAGGAGAAGAAGAAGAGGAGAAGAAGGACTGCGAGGGCAGAAAAGGGAAGGCAGGAGCGGGAGCGGTGGAGGGTGGCAGGGCAGATGCACACAACGGGGGGTGGGGGCGGTACAGGCCTGGAGGGGAGCGGCCGGACAGAGCAGGGCAGGCAACCACGAGGAGGAAGAGGCATGAGGTCGGTGTTCTTGCCGCCTGCGAATGCCAAGCATCTTCTCACGTGCAAGGAGCAGGGAGTTCCACGTACGCCGTCAGCGTTGGGGCCAGGAGCAGCACATCGATGACACGGGGGGGATACGAAGAGTCCACTGGTGGGCGGGACGGGGCAGCGGGAGCCCGCGCTCCGGGGCGCGGGGACAGCTGGTCCCTGGCAGGTCGCGAGGCACGATCGGGACCCAGCAGGCTCGAGCACACGGAGCAGGGGGCACGGACCATGGTGGTGGGATCAGGGAGGGGGCAGGAGGCGGGGGCGGAGGAGAAGCACGACGAGCGGGCGATCCAGCAGGAGCCAGAGGCAAGAGGAGGACGATGAGGGAGCCGCAGAGGGAGGAGAGAGGAGGAAGAGGGGGGCGTAGGAAATGTCAGAAAGGGAGGGGCGGGTAGAGAGAGAGAGAGAGAGAAAGGGAGAGACTGATGATGAAGTACGGCTGGGGCGCGACATCAAGACCGATGCGGGCACGCCTCTGTGTCCGTGAGGCGCACGTACAGCTCTGTCATCTCCTCGCAGGAAGAGAAAGATAACGCGGATGGGAGAGCATGAGCGGGCGCAGGCGCAAGAGAGGCAGAGGGCCTTGGCCACTGGCTGGGTAGAGAAATCGCTGACCAGTCCTCCTCTTGCCGCTCCAGCTGCTCCTGTTACTGCTGAGGCACCCTGCGTCAAAGGCATGATGCCGAACAAAGCAACGCTGCTTAACCCTGGAGCCCAGCACAACCGCTATCGCACCCGTTTGCACAACCTGTGCTCACAATTGCTGCAGAAGACATGGTAATGATCCTGATCGTCCTCCAGATCCTCATCCTTGCGCTGATCCCCCTCCTGATTCCCCGTCCCCAAACCGCCGGCCGCTCCAATTTTGTTCGATGTGTAGACCCTGAGGTCTGCACCACCTCCCTGGGGCAGATTGTTCGTCCTGGGTTGTTTTTTGACGGTCCACAGGCCCAGCGAGGGCCCCCAGATGCAGAAAACTGCCAAAAACCCACCGCTCCCAACTGTTTTGGACCGTCTTATCTCTGGGTCCCGTCCTCCCATGTCTTGACCCCCCCGTGAAAGTCGGCCCCTGCTGTCTTCGAGCGCGCCCTGGCCAGGGCGCTTTGGAAAAGCGAATCCATTTGCGGAGACGATGCCCCCCCTCCCCCACGAGAGGCCCCAAGTGGGCGGTGCGCATTCCTCCTCATGCCGAACGCTCCCCCTCCTCCAGTAAGCACGTACGCATGTTCACTAACCTTGGCGAGCACCACTGCCGATGTGCCAATTCCATCGGGGAGCACAGCATCGCGTTTGAGCATGACCCTCTGGCTCTTGCTGGATGTCCTGCTCGTCGTGCTTCTGCTCTGCCTCCGCCTCTTGCCCCCTCCCTGATTCCTCCCCTGTGCGGCGATCGAGGGGGGGAAGCGAGAAGGAGGAGGCCTTCTCAGAAGGTTCGAAAGTCCCCTGGCCTTGGGAGAAGTGTTCGATGCTTTTTCTCCGAAGACACACGAGACCTCTCAGAAGGCCTGAGGGCTTCTCAGAAGTCCCGCCGCCTACTGGGAAGACCTTTTCCTTCTCATTTCCCCCCCATCGCTCGCCGCCGATAAACAACTTGTTAACACACATTTTGCCACATTCCATAGCAATGGCAGGATAGTCCGTGGCCGGCCCTGGAATTGGCGACTCGATGTTCTCCAGTACGGTATCCCGTTTAACCCTGGGCTACCTGGTATGTAAGGTCGGCCCCGACCTCTTGACCTGGTGGCCTCCCGTACGCTATCCCGCATGTTCTCCCATATTCTGTCCCGCGCAAGGCATGTCGCGTGACATCTCGTGTGGCCTCCCGTGTGCGCAGCAAACTACAGTCCTCCGATTACGATTCGGTTGCGCACTTCAGGCTCTTCTGCTGCCAGGGTGCAATCCTGCTCCCTCCGTCGGGAGAGTACAGGAGGTGCAGGGAGGTGCGCTCGGAAGGGTCAACCGTACAGCGAATTCCCAAAACTGCTTGCGCGCGCATGCGCGCGCGTCCCTTGCGCTGGTCATGATCCTCCTCCTCCTCCTCCTCCTTCTCCCTCCTCTCGGGCCTCTCTCTTCTCGAGCATCTCCCCCTTCAGCTGCTGCTCGTCTTGCTGATCTCCCCGCATACGTATGCCTCCTCCCTCAGCCTCTTCCTCCCTTCTGAGGCTGCTCCGCCTCCTACTTTGCCTCGTTGGACCAATCGTTTTGCAAGGACGTGTTTTTTTGACAACTTTTCCGCTGGCCATCCTCCTATTCCGTTCCCCTTCCTTCTAGACACCTCTTCGCAGTCGCACCACCAGACGTGTGGGTACAGCCGCCTGGGCGCTTCGGTTCAGACCTCCGCGTTCCTGGTCACCCTGGAAGCCTGAGCCTTGAATTCACCAACAATTTCACGGACTAAGCGCAGGTCCTTTTTATAAATGTGGCGTTCGCCTTGTCGCCGCGCGCACCAGCCCGAGCGCCGCGCAAGCAGCCTTTCACGGGGGTGGAGGGGGGTTGGATTTCAGCATGTACCTCGAGGGCTCTCATCCTGGACATACACAGCAATTGCACAGTCGGAAAGCGCCTCCTGTTAAAGTGCGGCTCTCGCTTGAGACCCAGGGCTTATCGCACGAATGCAAATCATGCGCAACAGTTGCGCGGGTGACGGGCTCTCCTTGCCGAAATAAGGCTATCGCTTACGATTTGCTCTAAACTCATGACCAGCAGCTTGGTCACGACCACACAGTTACAAGCATCGAGGGTGCGCTTAAAATGCACAACATGCGTTATCGTTTGTCGCCTCCTTGGGCTTCAGTATTTCACCTCGACGTGGGAATGGCCACAAGAATGGAGGTTGGATCATCTTCAGAAGGGGCCCCGCCGAAATGTCGGTACTGTGAGGCGCTCGCCTTTCGAAAGGTCCCTTCCCCCGTGGAGAATGCTAGTATGCCGTGTGTGCGAGTACACGGGTGGTTTCAAATTTAACTCTAGTCAGAGCGAGGGGCCGAACGGTCCCACATCGTCCCTGGCTGAGTGGACGAATCGGGACTGATGTCAACTCGCCCTCCCGACAAATACTGCTGATGACCCCCCGCACCGGCCAACATTGTGCTGTCCGATTGAGATCTCTTTCCCGGGGCTCGCACCTACCTTTCTGTCACAAAAGGAAGTCTTGAACATCAATATGTGCAGTCGTCCCCCGGCTACAACAAAGACAACTCCCGCCTTAGTCTTCCTCAACATGTTTTCAGATTTCGTTCTTTCGTTCGAAACTTCCGTGTAGTCTACTCAGGAATCGCGCTGTCGCCCGGGACTCCACGCAATTTATTCCAGCGCTGCGCCCTCGACGCCCAGGAATTGCGCAATTGCACGAGGCATCCTCACAAATGACTGACAGATCGTGCTGGCCTGATACGCCTTCACAATTTACAAACTGCGTTTCAATACCCCGCCCGGCCCGGCCCGCCGCCCGTTAGGGTCCGCCCACCCGACCTGTCCGTGAGGGTCCGCCCGCTCGCTTGCTTGGGAGCCCGCTCGCCCGCCTTGATGCCCCTCTCGGCCTGCCCATAAGGATCCGCCCGCCCGACCCCCCTGTCAGGGTCCGCTCGCCCGACCTGTCCGTTACGGTCCGCCCGTTCGTCTGGAATCGTGCCCTTCCGCGTTAGCCCCGCCCGCCAAGCCCGCCAATCAATGCCTGCCCACCCGACCTGCCTGCTCGGCCCGCTCGACCGACCCACCCTGTCAGGGTACGGCTGCCCTCGTCCTGCTCATCTTTCCTCTGGCTCCTACTAAATGGTCTTCGTCTTCCATATTGCTCCCATTCTCTCTTCCCGCTCCCGTCTCGTTTCCTCACCCATTCCCGGCTCTTGCCAAATGAAGGAGCAAACAAAACGCGGATCGGAAAAACGAAAACAAATGCCCCAGGATGTTCAAGCACAGCCTTCCATTAGTATACGACCCCTCCCCCACGGACCAGCGACACACCCGGGACCATGACGACCCCGCACCACCCCTTGCAGCAGTGCAACATGCACTTTGCACCAAACACTGCATCGTGCGCCGACGCACCGCGATCACTCTGCACAAACTTCCGGTAAGGGAGGGGAGGGGCGGCACATCGCCTGCCATGTGCCAAGGCCAACCAACACCCACCATCCCTGGCACAAAAAACCATACAACGTGCACTTCGCACCAAAATCCGGATCATGCGCGGACGTCCCGCGATCGCGTAGGATTGATGTTTGACGACAAGGATGGCGGGGCGGCAACAGATTACCTGATATGCGAAATTCCAACACGCCCCCGACCACCCCTATCGAACAATAATATAAAGCGCACGTTGCGGCAAATTCTTGATCACGCGCGGGGGCCAACGATCACGTCGCACTGTTGCCTGACAGGGACGAAGGGGGGTGCCAGCATATTGCCTGCTGCGCGCAGGGCCAGCATCATTGTACAAGATAAAATGCCGCCAAATCCACCGAACCTGTCGGCGTGCGCGAGACGCTGTCTCGTTAAACTAGTCGTCGTCGAAGTCGTCGTCATCGTCGTCGTCGTCGTCGTGGCCGCCGCCGTCGTCGTCGCCGCTCCCACCCCCGCGCCGGCCTGAGCGAATCTCCTCTTTGAGGGTAACGCCGTAGTTGAGTCGAAAGGAAAGCTCTCCTCTTTGATCTCTTCTTCGCTGGGGGAGGGGGGGGGGGGCTGGGTCAGAATGCCATCCCCCCCTGGGGGTCCTGTGGAACTCAAACCCTTCCCCTCCGCCTCCCTCGTGTGGACAAGGGGTCCACCAACACCCCCTCGTCGTCGCCCCCCTGGTCGGCGGCACCAGCCGCAAGGCCTTCGCAATACACTCTCCGGCAACGATCATGCGCGGGACCGTCGCGATCCATTTGCAGTGTTATTTGACAGGGATGATCGGGATGCCCTGGCACCCGCGACGCACCTCGCGGGAGTCACGCACCTGGCCTGCGTCTGCATTGGTTCCCGATAGTGGTAGACGGCGGCCCCTGCCTGTGCTGAGACTCGAGTGCTACTTCTGTGGTGGGAGGGCGGGGGGGGAGGGAGCGAGACGGCCGTCCTTGGGGGGGGGAGGAAACCTGACACCAACTGAGCCCCTCATCTAGCGGCCAAGGGCCAGGGCCCAGCTCTGTGGAAACACGGGATTTCTTCAGGAGCGCGATGCGAGTACGCAGGTGGCACTCCTGAAAGCAATCCAGTTGAAAACAAGGCGGGAAACCTCCAGGGACCCAGCAACAGGGGACCCCCCCTCCCCTACCGCCCCCCCTCCCTTCCAGCTTCCCCCCCTCTCTCCTTGCCGTCGCTCGGACGTCCGTTTCCCGTGCATTTGTCGGTTTTGTGCGTGTTTTTTTTGCTCGATGGCCCAGGATGGTCCTCGATGGTTCTCGCCGAGGAAGAATGCACACGTCCGAGCGATGCCGAGTCTCTTCCAGCTCGCCACGGGGCACGGCGCTCGGCCAGGCCGCGCCTCGAGGCTCTCCGGCACCGCCGGCTCGTCGGCCGCGCGAGCGCCGGGGGACAGCCACTCGGAGGGGGGGGGGAGGCACGAAGGACGGAGGGATGAGAAGGGAGGCAGGCCCATGTCGCTGTTACTGCTGCTGCTGCTGCTGCTGCTGCTCCTCCTCCTCCTCCTCATCATCATCATCATCCTCCTCCCCCTCCTCCTCCTCCTCCTCTTCTTTTTCTTCTTCCTCCTCCTCCTCCTCCTCCTCCTCCTCCTCCTGCTCCTCCTCCGCCCCCTCCTCCTCCTCCTCCCCCTCCTCCTCCTCCTCCTCCTCCTCCTCCTCCTCCTCCTCCTCCTCCACCTCTCTCCTCCGCCTCCTCCTCCTCCTCCTCCTCCTCCCCCTCTCTCCTCCCACTTCGACTGCTGCTGCTCCTCCTCCTCCTCCCGCTCTTTCCTGGGCCCCTCGGAGGGAGGGCAGGAAGGTGAGGGCAGGGAGGAGGGGAGGAGAAAGAGAAGGAGGAGGCAGGGCAGGGGGAGGAGGAGGAATGGAGGGAGGAGTCGAGGGCACGAGGAGGAGGAATGGGAAAAAGGGACGAGGATAGCGACCAGGACAGAGGAGGGGAGTTGGAGAAGGAAGTAGGGATGGGAGGGGGAGGACAGGCAACAGTAGCAGAAAAGAAGGAGGAGAGGAACATTGAGGAAAGGAAGAGTACGAATACGACGTTAGGATTCCGCAACAAGCGAGAAGGCGCCTACTCCCAGGGAGATATTTCTTATGGAAGGTGGTGCAGCGAGCAGCGCATCCAGGCTTCAGGGAGCCTGGGCCCTAGGTGGGCCGACTTGAAAATTCACGCAAACTGACGTGATGATCCTGCCATCCGTGCCTCGATCGCCTGTCATACTGGACACGCGGCTTGGGCTGCGGGGGGGACTAAAATACGCGCCGATCTCCGCGAGTCAGGGGTCAGCTTCCATGCTGAGCGCAGTTCGGATTCGACGTAAAGGACGGCAAATGACGGCGAAGGCGGGGAGAAGTCGAATCGGCGGAAATCATTAGGCTAGAAATTAAGGCCTCCATTGAGAAACAGAAGTCCACATCTGAATCCGAAGTCGAGTCGGATCGGAATCGGAAGCCATCGAAATCGAATCGAATCGATTCGGAGGCGTCGAAATGAGTCCTGCAGGGATCAAGGAAAGTTGGGTTGAGAGCGCCGCAGGGTGGGAACGGCTGGACCACGGGAGGGCACTCAAGGTGGGGCCCAGCCCACTCGGTCGTGGCACGGCGCGCGAATCGCGGCTCCAGAAGAGGCGGAGGAGGTCGTATGGCACCCGCAAAAGGTCTGGATTGGTGAAGAAAGACAGGAGATATTTGCAATACTGGTCGCGGGAAGTGGTGGGGAAGAAGACCCCACGTCTTGTTAACACAATTGGGGAGAGCCCTTACATTCCAGAACTAAGTGTGGCTATTGTTCTGGCTGAAAAGTGTGCCCGGGAATGGTTCTGGGTAGCACGCATCAGGGTAAAAACAAATGGTCAATCGACCAGTGGGGATGGGAGTAGCAACGCATACAGCCGATCTGCGGCGATGCTACGAAGTAGGCGCGTCGTTCTTGAACGAAGCCAGACAAGCTTCTGCCACAGTCATCATAGATTATTCCTCCTCTTTCCCCTCCTCCATCCAGCGCCGGAGTACGACAGTAGCAGCCGGCGCAGGGCCAGCTTTGGAATGAGGAAGCTGACCGTTCGCGATGCGGTCCCATAAATAATTATGTTGAGTCTTGCGCGCCGCTGCTTCAAGGTAGCAACCACAGCTACTGCAAATGAAAGTGCCACCCAAAGCTTATGTGGCAACGTGAAGGGCGTGGCCTCGCCGGTTTGAAACCAACGACCCACATGCCTCGCCGACCTGGACGCCCGATCTGGGTACGGTAAAATACGATACGATGCCTAACAACATATTTTTACCCAAACGGACAGCGGCCACTGCTGGGCAAGCGACCTCCTGGCTCAAGTGGAAGGCGTCCGCGGAAACACCGACGGCGGGCCCTGTTCGATCGGCGCGGAGCTCCGAAGGCTTGTGCTTCTGTCACTGACTGCTCCCCGAGTCAGTAGGCAAGCGCGCTCCACTACTCGCAAAGCAACTGCTCGCAAATGGCCTGGATCCGCCGCGGGCGATCTACGATCCATCATGTCGGCGCGAGAATGTGTTTTTGTTTCAAACGCTTCCGAGTAGGCGCTTTTGCGAGTAGTGGAGCGCGCTCGATGAGTCAGCCCCGGCGTCGTGATGCGTCCAGTCTGGGCTCGCACTTGCCCTCCGCAACCAGCGGGGGCATCTGCGACGGCGACGGCGACATCGCCGTCGCCGTCGCCGTCGCCGTCGCCGTCGCCGTCATCGTCGTCGTCGTCGTTGTCGTCGTCGTAGTCGTCGCCATCGTCGTCGTCGTAGTCGTGGTCGCCAGCGTCGTCGTCGTCGTGCGGGTGCGGCGACGCGGGCCCGGGGGAGGGGCCCGCCGCGGAGTCGCTGCGCTGGGTGCCGTGGGCTCTGCCAGGCGGTGAGGGGCCTTCGAACAAAGGGTCGGCTGCAGAATCGATCTGCCCCAAGATTGATGCTCTCGTCGAGGAGGGCGCGCCGCTGGATGGCCCGAAGGGGGGGGGGGGACCCCCCCTTTCCCTGATCCGTCGTCGGGGCAATCCCCCCCTCCCCCCCTTTCACGGTCCATCGTCGGGGACCCCCCCCCTCCTTCCCTTTCCCGGTCCGTCGTCGGGGAACCCTCCCCCCCCATCTTTCAAAAGGGAGGGAGGGTCCGACCCCCCCCCCTTTGGCCGCCAAATTCGGCCCCCACCCCCTCCTCCTCTTTCGCCACGGCGCCCCCTGGCTCCACAAACCCTAACCCTAGCCCGAAACAGCACTCAGTGTCACTATTCACTACTCACTACCCACTACTCACTACTCGCTACCCACCACTCACTTCTCACTACTCACTGTTCACTACTCACGACTCACTACTCACTCCCCACTACCCACTACTCACTACCCACTAGTCACTACTCACTACTCCCAACTCGCTACTCAGTACTCACTATTCACTACCCACTAGTCACTACTCAATATTCACTATTCACTACTCACTACCCAGTACTCAATACTGATTAATCACTACTCACTACCCAGTAACCACTATCCACTACTAACTACTGACTACTCTCAACTCACTAATCATTACTCACTGCCCACAACTCACTACGTACCATCCGCTGCTCGCTACTCGCTACTCCCTACTCCTTACACAGTACGCACTGCCCAACTACTCCCTTTTTCCGATTCGCTACTCGCTACGAAATACGCAAGATTCACCACCCACTACGCACTACTCACTACTTAATACTCACTACTCCCTACTCCCTACTCACCCGTCAGACGTCACCACAAACTACTCACTACCCAGTACTCACTAATCACGACCCGCTACTCTCTAACCGCTACTCGCTGCGCACTACCCACTACGCACTACCCATTTCTCACTTCCTACTACTCACAAAAGATACTCCCTACTCACTGCTCACTACTCATGATCCCAGTGCGACCGTACCTAGGAGTTGGAGCATCTAGGAAAGCAACATCTACATCTACACCGGCAGCTACAATAACATCTACACAACCTTCTTTTCCTACATCCACATCAACAGCGAGACTCACATCTACATCGACATCTACATCTACATCTACATCTACATCTACATCTACATCTACACCTTCGAATACACCGACATCTGCATCTACATCTTCATCGACACCTACATCCACATCTACCCCTACACCTACATCTGCATCTACATCTACACGTTCGCATTGTTTGTTTGCTTTGTATTGCTTTTGCTGTTGCTTTTGCTTTTGCGGTTGCGTTTGCTTTGGATTTTGCTTTTGCATTTGCTAGGCTATGCAATGCGACGATATGCTGCGCTATGCTATGCTATGTTATGCTGTGCTGCGCTATGTTATGCTACGCTATGGTGCTATATATGCTGCGATGCAGGGATATGATATGGTATGATATGCTGCGCTGTGTCATGCGTTGCTATGATATGCCAAGCTATGCTGTGTTATGCGATGCTGTGCTATGATATGATATGATTTACTGTGCTATGCCATGTTATGCTGCGCTGCGCTATGCTAAACACTGCGATGCTATGCGATGCGATGTTATGCGATGCTGCGCTATGCCATGCCATGCTATGCTATGCTATGCTATGGTATGCTATTTTTATGATGTGGTATGCTGAGCTGTGCTATGCTATGCTATGATATGCCATGCTATGATTGGCTTTGCTATGCTACGCTATGTTGTACTAATGCTGCGCTGCGCTGTGCTGCGCTAAGCTAAGGTAAGCTAAGCTATGCTAAGCTAAGCTAAGCTAGGCTAGGCTAAGCTAAGCGAAGCTAAGCTAAGCTAAGCTGGGCTAGCCAGAGCCAAGCTAAGCTAAGCTAAGCGAAACTAAGCTAAGCGAAGCTAGACTAGGCTAGGCTAAGCTAAGCTAAGCTAAGCTAAGCTAGGCCAGGCCAAGCTCAGCTAAGCTAAGCTAAGTTAAGCTAGGTTAAGCTAAGATGAGACAGGCAAAGTAAGCTAAAGGGACGTAGCTGGGGGAACCGCGGGGCGGATACTGGGGGAACCGCCCGGGGCGCTTCCCACTGCCCGGCCCCTTTAAGCCCAGAGAGGAAGAACCCTTCTAGGCAGAGCCTAGGTAGGAATTAGTCATTACTAAATATCCACTACTCGCTACTACCTACTCGCTACTCACTACTCCCTACTCACTACTCCGTACTCACTACTGACTAATCCCTCCTAACTACTCACTACTCACAATGCCCTACTCGCTCATCGCTATGCACTACTCGCTACTCCCTACTCGCTACTCACGAGTCCCTACCCACTCAGCGTTACCCACTTCTCACAACTCACTACCCACTACTACCTACTCACGACTCGCTACTCCGTACTCGCTACGCACTACTTCCTACTCACTACTCACTACTGACTACTCCCTACTCTTGACTCACTACTCGGAGTGCTGTACTCGCTACT